CAGACTGCAACATGCGTCTTTGTAAAGAGAGAAACAGACAGAAAAAGTCTCTAACTCTGCCTGTCAGCTCGCTCTGCTCCGTTAAAAATTCCTGTGACATGACCACGACGTCACCGAACGTATTAAGATGCCTCACCTTTCCATTGCAGCACGAGCTGCTACGGGAGGTGTTGCACTGCCTGCCAACGCTGTACTTTAATAAACGTAGGTGATAGTCTCCAACTCACTTTACGAGCTACAGACATCTCATTTTGACCCTTTTTTCTCTTGGTTTTCTTAGAGAGAGTACATTATGTTTGTCATGCGACGGCAATATTTTAGAAACAGTGGAATCTACTTTTTTTTTACAATATTATGACAAAATGATTGTATATTGAATAAATATCACATTATGCCAAATCAATGTTCACTGTCTGCCATTTTGATACCACTTTAGAAATGTTCAAATTCTACATTTTGGCAGCAGCTGTCAATAACCTTTGAAAGAAGTTTAGCTTCATAATGTTTAGCCAGGTTCAAACGACAAACCAAGGTAAGGCGTTCTTTAAAACTGTTGGCAAACATCACTAGAGATACTGAAAATAGTTCTTCGAAAAATGATTTCAGTATTATGATATTGTTATTCACGTTGGCGGTAATGACTCCCGGTTACGCCAATCGGAGGTCACTAAGATTAATGTTGAGTCGGTGTGTACATATGCAAAAACAATGTTGACACCGTAGTTTTCTCTGGACCCCTGCCAAATCTGACCAGTGATGACATGTATAGCCGCCGTCATTCCGCCGCTGGTTGTCGAGGTGGTGTCCAGCAAACGATGTGGGCTTTGTAGATCATTGGCAGACTTTCTGGGGAAGACCTGGTCTGATCCGGAGAGACGGCATCCATCCCACTTGGGAAGGAGCAGCTCTCATTTCTAGAAATCTGGCCAAGTTTATTAGTGGACCAAATCCATGACAACCCAGAGTTGAGACCAGGAGACAGAGTCGCAGTCTAACACACTTCTCTGCCCTTCTTTTTCAGCAGTTACCCACCCAAAACCCTACGCAGAGTCGCAGTCTAACACACTTCTCTGCTCCTCCATTTCAGGAGTTACTTAGTGAAAACCCTATAGTGACGGTGTCTGTCCCCCGACCATCGAAATTATTTAAAAACTAAACGGAAGAGGAGCTGTGCATAAAAACCTCATAAAAATTAAAACCACAAGAGCAATAGTGCAAACGAATAGGAGAGTTAAATGTGGACTCTTAAACATCAGATCTCTCTCTTCTAAAGGTGTACTAGTAAATGAACTAATATCAGATTATGATATTGATTTATTTTGTCTTACTGAAACCTGGCTGGGTGATGGAGAATATGCTAGCCTAAATGAATCCACCCCTCCCAGTCATATTAATACTCACATTCCTCGAGGCACAGGCCGAGGAGGTGGAGTTGCAGCTATCTTCGACCCTACTAATCAGCTCTAAACCTAAACTAAATTATAACTCATTTGAAAGTCTTGTTCTTAGTCTTTCACACCCTAGTTGGAAATCACTGCAACCAATTCTCTTCGTTATAGTGTACCGAGCACCTGGCCCGTATTCTGAATTTTTATCTGAATTTGCAGAGTTTTTGTCAACTTTAGTCCTTAAAACGGACAAAGTTATTATTGTAGGGGATTTTAATATTCATGTGGACGTTGAGAATGACAGCTTTAGTACTGTGTTTATCTCTCTGTTAGATTCCATTGGATTCTCTCAGATTGTTCATGAACCGACTCACTGTTTTAACCACACCCTCGACCTTGTTTTGGTGTATGGTATTGAAATTGAACATTTAGTGGTGTTCCCACAGAATCCCTCTTTGTCCGACCACTGTTTGATAACTTTTGAGTTTGTATTGCTGAACTTGTAGCTAAATTTAAGGATGCGATTCCATCAGCTCTAAATTCATTATCAAGTCACAAAGTAACGGAGGGCTCCTATGCTAATTTCAGTCCCTCCCAAATCGATCATCTTGTTGATAGTGCTGCAGGCTCGCTGCGATTGACACTGAAAATACTAAAACTAATACAAAGAAAATACTAAAACAAAGACGGTTAGCTCCATGGTATAATACTGAAACTCGCAAATTAAAGCAAATATCGCGGAAACTTGAGAGGAATTGGCGTTCTACCAAAGTGGAAAATTCTCGTTTAATTTGGCAAGATAGTCTTAAAACTTATAGGAAGGCCCTCCGTAATGCCAGAGCAGCCTACTACTCGTCATTAATAGAGGAAAATAGGAACAACCCCAGGTTTCTTTTCAGCACTGTAGCCAGGCTGACAGAGAGTCACAGCTCTATTGAGCCAAGTATTCCCATAGCTCTCAGTAGTTACGACTTCATGAGCTTCTTTAATGATAAAATTCTAGCTATTAGAGACAAAATTCACCAAGACCTGCCCTCAACTGGCACCGACTTATCTCTTAACTCAGGAACCTTAGAAACAGCTGTAGAACCAGATATATGTTTAGACTGTTTTGCTTCCCTCAATCTTTACCAACTAACTTCAATAATTTCTTATCTAAACCATCAACCTGCCTCTTAGACCCCATCCCGACTAGGCTGATTAAAGATGTTTTACCCTTAGTCAGCACTTCTATACTAGATATGATCAATCTATCTTTATCAACAGGCTATGTACCACAGTACTTTAAAGTAGCTGTAATTAAACCTCTTCTGAAAAAGCCCAAACTTGATCCGGATGTTTTAGCCAACTATAGACCTATATCTAACCTTCCATTTCTCTCTAAGGTTCTGGAGAAAGCAGTTGCTAAACAGCTGTGTGACTTTCTACAGAGCAATAGTTTATTTGAGGATTTTCAGTCAGGATTTAGAGCTCATCATAGCACAGAGACAGCACTGGTGAAAATTACTAATGACCTCCTTATTGCATCAGACAAAGGACTTGTCTCTGTACTGGTTTTATTAGATCTTAGTGCTGCATTTGATACCATTGACCATCAGATCCTATTGCAGAGACTGGAACATTTCATTGGCATTAAAGGAACCGCTCTAAGCTGGTTTAAGTCCTATTTATCAGATCGATTTCAGTTTGTACATGTTAACGATGAGTCCTCCATGCACGCCAAAGTTACTCATGGAGTTCCTCAAGGATCTGTCCTTGGACCAATCCTCTTCACTTTATATATGCTTCCTTTAGGCAATATTATCAGGAAACATTCCATAAGCTTTCATTGTTATGCAGATGATACTCAGTTATATCTATCGATCAAGCCAGATGAAACTCATCAGTTAGCTAAACTTCAAATGTGCCTTCAGGATGTTAAAACCTGGATGACCTGTAATTTTCTCATGTTAAACTCAGATAAAACTGAAGTTATTACTCTGGGGCCTAAGCACCTCCGTGACGCATTATCTAAAGATATAGTTTCCCTTGATGGCATCGCCTTGGCCTCCAGCACCACTGTGAGGAATCTTGGAGTTATCTTTGATCAGGACATGTCGTTTAAGTCTCACATTAAGCAAATTTCAAGGACCGCCTTTTTTCACCTACGTAATATTCCGAAAATCAGGAACATCCTGTCTATAAATGATGCAGAAAAACTAGTCCATGCATTTGTTACTTCTAGGCTGGATTACTGCAATTCCTTATTATCAGGCTGCTCGAAAAAGTCCATTAAGACTCTTCAGCTGATCCAGAATGCTGCAGCACGTGTTCTGACAGGAACCAGGAAAAGAGATCACATTTCTCCTGTTTTTGCTTCTCTGCATTGGCTTCCAGTAAAATCCAGAATAGAATTTAAAATAATTCTTCTTACCTACAAAGCTCTTAATGGTCAGGCACCATCTTATCTTAAAGAGCTCATAGTACCTGACTACCCCACCAGAGCACTGCGCTCCCAGAATGCAGGGTTACTTGTGGTTCCTAGAGTCTCCAAAAGTAGACTAGGAGCCAGAGCGTTCAGCTATCAAGCTCCTCTCCTGTGGAACTAGGTTCCAGTTTGGGTTCAGGAGGCAGACACCATCTCCACATTTAAGAGCAGGCTTAAGACTTTCCTCTTTGATAAAGCTTATAGTTAGGGCTGGCTCAGGTGAGTCCTGAACCATCCCTTAGTTATGCTGCTATAAGCCTAGACTGCCGGGGGATTTCCCATGATGCACTGAGCTCCTCTCTCCTCTACTTTCTCTCCCTCTGTATGCAACCTTATCCCATTATTGCATGTTACTAACACAACTTCTCCCCTTTCTGGTAGTCTTGTGCTTTCTCGTCCCTCTCCTCTCTCCTCCTATCACTTCCTGCAGGTTTTCTGGCTCTGGAGCTGTGGAGTCTGGATCTGTGGCTGCGAGTCACCTACTGCCCCCGTGTTCCTGCTCGACACCCTCTGCTGCAACGACTATTGTTACTAGTCCTATTATTATTATTGTTATTATAATCATTAACATTACGACTGTTACCATTAACACTACTATAAATATCTGTACCATTTTTTCATTTAGTCTATAGGCTGCCTCCCTCCCCTCTCTCTCTCCTTCCATCCCTCTCTTTTTCTCTCTGTTCCTCTCCTGCCCTCTCTCTCTCCCTCTCTCTCTCTCTCTCTCTCTCTCTCTCTCTCTCTCTCTCTCTCTCCCTCTCTCTCCTTCACCCCAACCAGTCGAGGCAGATGGCCGCCCACCCGAGCCATGGTTCTGCTCGAGGTTTCTGCCTCTTAAAAGGAAGTTTTTCCTTGCCTCTGTCGCCTAGTGCTTGCTCTTGGTGGGAACTGTTGGGCTTCTGTAAATAACATCACAGAGTACGGTCTAGACCTGCTCTTTTATGAAAAGCGCTGTGAGATAACTGTTGTTGTGATTTGGCGCTATATAAATAAAATTGAATTGAATATTATTCCAGAGGATATATTATTTTTATCTATTGTTTTCTTATCTGAGAAACAACATTATGTAAGTTCTGTGTGGTTTTCTAATCTTGTTAAATAAAGTTAAACAGAACTGCTGTTAGCTGACAGTAATAAACTGTTGGGTGATGTACTGAGACAACATCTGTCTAAACTGTATTTTATTATAGTTCCAGTATACTGTACAGTATTATGGCAGGTGTTGCCAGAGGCTTCCTTTTGTACCTCACAATATGTCAAACATCTATGGTAATGAAGGTAACCTGTCTCATTGACTCTTTGATGGACAAATGGCAGGCTGGCAGAACTCACTGCAGTTGTAGAGACGGTTGAGCTTGGTTATGTCACTAGCACTGAACCCCATCCTCTGACCAATCACATCCATGAAGTGGGGGATCTTGGTGACGATGGTGGGCTCAGAATCAATGCTGAAGTACGTCTTTCCGTAGTGCATTATAGAGCTGTAGTCATAAGGAACACCTAGAGCACTGGACACCGTGTCATCGTGGCTTTCGAAGTTGTGCTCTTGACCTGAGGAAGGCAGAAGAAGAATGTCAGGAAGAATTCAGCTGTTGTTTTTATTTATTGCAAGCAACTGTCAGTTTTGTTGTGTAAAACAAAATTAGATGGTGGGCATGGATAATGAGAAAAATGCAGGAGTAGTTTCTGTACAGTTTGTCATTTATTGTATAAAGTTATTACATGAGTGTACACTAATGTAAGTGATGAGCTGTAATTACAAGTGTCACAAATCAGCGTTACCAGGTTCAATTTGATCCCATATGATGTTGACATAATCATCACGGTCGGCTCTGGACTGCTCGTGCCAGAAGCCCAGAGCGTGCAGGAACTCATGCTCAACGGTGTCTAGAGTATCACAGTATTCACCAATGGACAGCTGCTGCCTCCCCATACGCTGGTTGCCTACATAGGAGAAGCATCTACAGAGAGGGGAAGCAAGATGTTCACATGCAAGTGACTAACTGTGTCTGCCTTTTGGTGCTGGACAGGTCAGTCAGTATGTATGGATGAAAACAGGGTTGATGAAAGCAGTGAGACTAGACCAAATGAGTAACACTGAAGTACTTTAAACCACAACGACGAGCAGAAAACTGCTAAAAGGTTTTGTAGAGCTGAGGGGAGCTGCATCTATTGATACCGTGTCATTACAAGCGACCTCTTTCTCATTGCAGGATGCAGTACTGACCTACATTTTGTTACGGCCTTGGCCGTATCCCTGGTGTTACCCCTTCCCCCCATCTGTCTCTCTCTGTCCTTGTGTGTGTGTGTGTGTGTCGTCATGACTACCTCCTCTGGCTCCGTGGGCTCACCAACCCTCAGCATCCGCTGTTTATCCTCGCCACCGCCACTTTCCCCAACTCCCGTGTGAAACTGACAATAAAGTCCACCTTCCCCGCAACACCTGTACGTGTCCTGCGCTTGTGTTCCAAGTCCCTGGTTTCCGCAACACATTTGTCCTCCTCAACAATACAGATTACATAAACACAGCAGTTTGAAGATCTGCTCACCCTTTCCCTTTGTACACAGAGATGTAGTTCCCCTCTCCTTTCCATGGTGTGAAGTCAATGCAGGTCTTCAGTCTGTACTGGTCAAATGCCTTCAGGATTACTCCCTTTTCATTCATGTCTACACATTACAAAGTGTAAGAACATAAATATTGATAAAGCAACCTAATTTGGTAACATGCTAACTACTGTGAGTTTCCAAAACACCGTGTCTTACCCAGACAGTCCTCCAGGTAGTAAGGAACGGTTGTTGGCCAGTGATACTCATCTCCTATGATTGAGTTTCTGATGAATGTCTGATGGGAACAAAGGAAATAACAGGTATAAAATTGAGTACAGGTTCAGGGGAATTACCTGTCATTGAATTTCTCTTCATGTGCCCAGAAGGATAGTCCTTCTTCATCCTCTTATGTAAAAAGTCGTTATTTTGCTTAGAAATCTAGTGAAGTTAAAGTAAAAGTTGCAACAACTTTAAGTAGCCTACTCAAGTACAGTACAAATCTGGTATGTATGTACAGTAACAAAGTATTTGTACTTCGTTACTTTTTGCTGGTTACAATGCAGTCAACCAGACGAGCCACCACCTCCTGTGAAGTTAAGATAATACTCATGACTGTTAAAATGATAATTTAACCTTGTCCAGATATGTAGTCTCTCCTTGAACTAGGGCTGTTAGGACCTCTGGGTGGACAGAGGCCGTAAACTAAGGCCCCATCCACACTACTCTGTTTTTGTATAAAAGCTGAGTTTTAAAACGAATATGCTCCCAGTCCACACCAGCGTTTTAACTGTGTATCAGAGTTGATCTCCGTCTACATTAAACTACTGAAAACGCACATCTAGTGGCCGTTCACGTAGGGTGAATTCAGGTATATTGGGACAGTTTTTGTAATTCTGTCTTGTGATCTCGTTACATCAGCAAATGTCAACAGGCTAGATTATTGATTAAGTTAAAATCATTAAAGACTCCAACATGTTGTCAAACATGTTTATTTTATTTGTTTCTCTGTTATCTGCCATTCTATTCTGCAGCAGACCTTAAATTCATCATAAGAATAAAGCAACAGGTTAAACAAAGTGAGTAGCAAAACGTCTGCATGCATCAGCGATGCTTCTTGATTAGACTTAATTATATGTTACAGAACTGCTACATTAAACATAGTAAACATTTGCTTTATTGTCAGAAGATTGTTGGAAAAGGCTAATTTGACCAAATGATAGGGCTTTCTACAGACAATGTGGGGGATTAGCATCATTAGTAATCTTACTCTATCTACTTAAAAGTTGCCTGTAGGTTACATCTCGGTGGTTCTGTGTTGACATACATGTGTGGTCCCTCTGTATATCTGGTTTTATGAATCCACACTAGTGATAAATTTCATTTTAATAGCCTTTTAACACTGTCCCAATATATCTGAAACATGCTGTCCCAAATTACCACAACACGTTTGGTAATTTGGGACGGCAAGAAAATGTCCTAAATTAAAAAATGTAAACATAATTTCCAAACAATATTTTGTATTTTGGTAAACTACTAAACCATACATGTTTTGTATATCATTTAAATCTACAGTATATTAGTCATCAAATGTTTTACCCTTATATCAAATCAATCTGAAGCCTATTTCATTTCTGTTAACTCCATCCTACCAGGTTTTCAATCCAGGGACTGAATTAAAAACTGAATCTGTCCAAGTACTGAGTTATTCCCAAATTCCCTTCAGGGAACAACAGGGTCCCCAAAGGACCAAAGAGGTATAACCTTGCCATTGGACCTGACTAATCTCTTTGTGATCACTTACCTATTACTATCTGTGTTTAACCTGATGTCATGTTTCAACTACTTTCATATATTTTCTTATTAAGAATCGTTTAACAATCAGTACTGTCTTGGAATTTAGCCTGTTCATTCATCTGCTACTATGAATTGTGTTGTTCAACTTTAACAGGTCTACAGTTTGACTTTAATAGGCGGTGGGCCAACGGCAGTTGTTGAGGACTTCTTCAGGGTTTTCAACAAATTAAACTAAATTTGTTGCCACTCGTGCTTCTGCCATTTTTTTGTTTATCAGTAACTTTATCCACCTTACTTTTCCCGGCAATAAGAGCGGACCGCTATGTCTGGGGTCCGATTTACGTGACTTACATGTAGTTTTTGTCCAATGGCGTGCTTGGAAAAGTGCCGGACTGCGGAAAACCCGGAAATAAATAACGCGCCGAAGGGACCGAGACAGCAGGTTAACTACGTTGATTTAAGTTATTAAATCAATAAGTAAACTCGCGTTTACGCTTTACTTTCAATAAAAATAGATTTACGTTGTAATCATGGAATGTAAACATTTGGTCCTCAGCCTTTTGTGTGTGGCTTCTTTGCATCTTGTCCCTTCAAACTGCAGAAACACAGGATACATTTACCACAAGTTAACTGTCACCCTGCTTTGTTATTCACCTTAAACTGTCAATGTTTGCACTTCGTGTAAATAACTGCCACATAAACAGTCTGTTACTTTTATATCTTGCCATTATATAGGTTTGTTTGTTATGCACCAAATTCCTTGTATGTATAAGCTCTTACACATACACTCTACATGGCAGTATAACGTTAGCTGATTCTGATTAATAAAACACCAACATGTGAGTACTTTAGAGGTAGACACAGAGTCATCCTTACTTTTTATATGATCATTTATAACATAACATTGTCCCTCATAAGTTTTTGGTGATCTTTTACATAATATATCAGTTATCACAAATTTCTGTTCCATTGTATTGTTAGAAAACTTCACCTGTCAATCTTAATATGATGAGCAACGTCACATAATCATGCCAACCAACAGATTGCTCCTGTAATAATAATAATAATCCTTATTTGTAGAGCACTTTTCAAAAACAAGTTACAAAGTGCTTTAACAAGTGTAAAGAATAATACAAAAAAAACAAGATAAGAGCATGAAAAATTAAATAAAATTAGTAAAATAGAATAAAATAAAGGGATAAAATAAAGTCAAATAAGATCGGAAAGGCTCTCCTATAAAGTATGTTTTAAGAAGGGACTTAAAAGAGTGTTGTTCCAGGGCCTCGGGGCCCCGACAGCAAACGCTCTGTCCCCTTTAGTTTTATGTTTCGCCATGAAACAGGAAGCTGTAACGTCACTATTTATTGTCCAACCTGCTGCAGACTTAACGTGTTTGATAAGAGTTCAGGCCTCCTGATTCTGAGGAAGCTGAATGTACATCTTAAAGACATGAATGGGGCATGAAGGATGCAGTGGGTTAAGCACCGCTGGCAAAGTAAGACATTGGGAGCAGGCATTCACTGCCAGAAGGAGAGCAGTGTAAAGCGTGGGCTGGAGTATTTTAAATCTTCTACCTTTTGACAGTAATTAACATGAAGAACACCTGTCAATCATCATGAAACATATCCACTCATAATCGTAATGACCTAATATAGAACTGCGATGACATTAAAATAACTGTAATAATATTGAAAGGTCAAACATCAAGAGGTAAAAGGCACATTGTGTTTATTTAGTAAGAGATACATTCAAGCTTCTGAGGGGAATAAATCTTTCTTTTTTGATGACCCCATGTCCTTGACAGCCTGGGGACAGTTTAGATTTACAATGTAAAAGTGAAGTAATGGTCTGTGGCGATTATGGGGGGGAGCCAACAGTGCCCCTGTAACACAGATCTTGGACCCCCTATGGCCCCCCCTCTGAACGAAAAGTCTACAACAGCCCTATTGAATTGGCGGCCCGCGGGCCACATCCGGCCCAGCACATAATCTAATATATATGACAACAAAAGTAAACTACATGTATAGTGTATGAAAGTAGCTAAAGAGTGAGCTGTGTGGTTTCCTTCTCATCTTTGTTGTGCACTCGCACACACGGCGGCAGCAGAGGGAGGAGGACAGGAGGGACTGAGCTGTTCATTCTTTCTAAACTTCACTCAGTATGTTGATTTCAGGAATATGATCTATTTTACTGACATGTAAAATTTGTTTCCAGCGAGATATTGGTGACTTTGTTGTTTTAAATCCCGTTCTGCTCTAGAACAACATTTAGTTAATAAAAATGGTACAATCTTTTTTTAAATAATAGATTCAGTTATTTAGTAATAAATAGGACTGATAAGAGCATTAATAAAGAACTGAGCCAAAAGGGATTACTAATACAAGTGTGTCAATAAAATCCTTATGATCCCAACTCGTGAGAAAATGGCAATTGAATTTGTAATTGAATAGCCCTGGTCTACAGTAATCATAGTAATCTATCTTCCTTGCGACGAAATGTACATTAAACTGAATGCAGCATTGTAGACAATATTCTGTCCTTGTAATCCATGTTTCCACTGCATGGATAGCCTTTGGATATTGCTGGAAATCCCCTCCTTAAAGGGTATATTATTATCATAACAATTTAACAATGCATTGCATTTAAACAGCACTTTTCATACACAAAAAGCGATAAAAGTAGCCTACTGGTCCTACCTGGACATGCAGTCTGCCAAATATGCATTCCACTCCATAATGCACAGATTATGGCCTACTATCAAGTATTTTGTTTTGTGTATATTTCACATCATGACTAATAACAGGGGTGAATATGGTGGTGTTTCTTGTTTCCTAGCAAATGTTATAGTGGGATACAAATACAAACTGGGATCCAGAGAATGTCTAGAGCTTAAACTGTTCATTAAGTCTTACAAAGAAGAGTTGCATCAAAGAATGTGCTGTAACTTGAGCTAAAATTAACAGGAATGTTTTTTGTTATATATATAATGTAATTTAATAAAACTATAACTAATTTACTAGAAAGATCCTGTTACTGAAACAAATAAGTGTAAGTTACTGAAATATACTAAAACATTACATTATATACTAAACAAGACATTTTAAGAGCTTGAACAGTGCCTTTGTCTCTTTTGTCCCGGATTGAATGTACCCCTCTGACAAAACTACTGGCCCCAGCCTGGCACCCTCAATGAAACTGGTCTAGAACTGGCACTGGTAATTAATACATACAGTGGGTACGGAAAGTATTCAGACCCCTTTAAATTTTTCACTCTTTGTTTCATTGCAGCCATTTTCCAAAAATCAAAAAGTTCATTTTATTTCTCAGTAATGTACACTCAGCACCCCATCTTGACAGAAAAAAAACAGAAATGTAGAAATTTTTGCAAATTTATTAAAAAAGAAAAACTGAAATATCACATGGTCATAAGTATTCAGACCCTTTGCTCAGTATTTAGTAGAAGCACCCTTTTGATCTAATACAGCCATGAGTCGTTTTGGGAAAGATG